CCCCCCCCCCCCTCCCCAAGAAGGTCCAAGTTAGGTGAACTTATTTTTGCCGCTTCTGCTGCAATTTTCTGCTTACCTCTTCAAACTTGACAGTCAAATTCAACTTTCGATTTCAAGCTGTCACCGGAAGCGTTTTGGGCTGTATGGCTAGACGGTTTCAGTACTAGACAGTCCAAGGTTCTCCACGTTTTTTATTGAGATCAACTCTAACGTCAGTGCCGGTGCTCATTTGCAATTTGATTTCGCACTGATGATCGAGGTTACATACTATACTGGCTTTTAAGCCTCCTGTTTCTTTTAGTAGTTTGCACTCATAACGCAGGTAGGCTTTCCACAATCTTCCATCAAAAGAAACCTTCAAATCGCTTCGGCATTTCAATCCTTTATGTCTTTTCCACCCTCGTGGCAAATATCTCACCTTTGTCCCCTTGTATTCCACGGTCTTTATTAATTGAAGAAGGGAGTCCGCCTCTTTCATTCTCACGAGTGTTGGCCAAGTCCTTTTTTCAAATATCCTACCATTTATCCAACCCCGTCGTAAATGCCATTAACTCACTTTTGAATCGTAGTAAGATTCACAAATTTGCATAACCGAGGCAATTTTTGTTTTGATGAAATTTTCCACTTGTCTTGAATTTTAGCTTTAGATGCCTTCATAAATTGTGTCCCATTAGTTTCAAGAATTTATTTTTTCGATAATTTTTCTTCCAGTATAACTCCCCAATTGGCATTATTCCAATTAATTTCTTTTTTTATTTCATCTTCCTTTTTTACGAGGGCATCTTTTGTATTCGCTTTTTTTCAAATTTAAATGCCCAAAATTCGCAACAAAAAATTGGCATGAAGGCGACAAGGAGGAGAGAAGACATATTTGAGGGTGTCTACTTAACTGGCAAGCACATGTTGTGCACTGTGCAAGGTTATTCATTACTTCGGATGGGTATTTCAATCGTTAAACGTCACTTTCATTGTCACCGAGTGCTTTAATTTCCGTGAATTCCAATATGATTCTTTTAGACTGTTTTAAAGTACTTATTGACACCCGTAATGGACTTGTCTTTCAAAAGTTAAGAAATTGAGAGAAGAATTCCAATATATTGTAGGAGTGATTAGGTAGTTATTTAGTATTAGGTTTGGCAGACATAAGTCAGAATGAATAACCACTGCATAGGTATTTCTCTTGAAAGTACTGCACCCAAATTTAAAAATATGATGGCGTGTGGTAAAGACAACATGCACTGTGTGGTCTGTATTATTGTCAAATTGTTTTTTTTGCTGTACGAAATGTTGAAATTTCACATCACATGTGACATTTTTACCACGGAGTGATGGAGAAGTTATCCAATTGTCACTGCAAATCTTCCGATGGGAGTGTCACTGTCGTCACCCGTTTTTTTTCACATGAATTTTAACTGTTTTGAGAATTTTAAGACAATTGATTGTTTTTCCAATTTTCATTCTAATTCATTCAAAGCTTACCCTTAATCAAATGGGGGGGGGTGATTGAAACGGTTCTCAGATCAATGCTATAACGTTAAAGAGAACAAAGATTTTTACTTTAAAACGAGTCTTTTAAGCTTCCTTAATAGCATACAACTGTCCAATCGTTCTACGTAAGTTAAGTACCTTAAAATAGATGACAATTTTCAACCCTTCAAATGGCAAATTTTGAGACAGGAGTAGGTAGGGAGACCCAACACAACTAGTAATCAAAGAAACACATCCCTTTTGTGCAGAACCTAGTGGAACAAGATGGACGATTTACCATTGAAGAAATTGACAATGAAGTAGGAATCGCACACGGATGAAATCTGGAGCTAACGATTTGATCCAGAGAACAAACCTCAATCAAAAGAAAATTTGGAATTGCCAAGTTCTAATCTGAAATGTCGTAAAGTTGGTCATAGCCACTATTTTCTTGGGATTCAAAAGACAAGGACAGGATTAGTGACCTCATGTTATTATGAAGGCGTTTTGAAGAGGTTGAAGATATCCCTCTTTATTTAAAGTAACGGCTCCTGAAATTGCACAATCGCATTCTGTTTCATCATGACAATGTCTGTGCACAATCTTCAAGAGCTGTCAAGACCCTGTTGAGCGAATTTCGATGGGAAATGCCTCCACGTTTTTCTTACAGTCCTGGCCTTGCTCCCTCAAATCTTTCTATTTACAAAACTGAAAGAACACCTTAAAGGCATCCGATTTACGTTTTAAGATGAAGCGAAAAAAGGTATGTAGAAGAGTAGAAATATTGATTACAAAAGTGTATAGACACAAATGAAGCCTTCATCGAAGAATAGATGTGTAATCACCTGTTAAATAAATTTATTTTTGAATTTGTCTGCGAACTCAATGACTTGCCCTCTTACCCTTCTATACTGGCCTTTAGCTTGATAAGGTAGACCTCGCAATAACAGTTATCTTACATTTTATTCAAGATTGAAATTCTCAAATATTGCCTGCTCATTACTGCAATTAAAACGAATGTAAAGGTCCATTTCATTCCCTGCCAAGTTATATCTTTGATACGATCAGTTGGTTGAATGAACTTGAGAAGCATTGACAATTATGACCTGGGGAGATATTCTTTTTGGCATATTTTTTGTACTCTTAACGGATCCTAAGTGTCAACCGTTTCTGTCATTCACTGGATTTGCCACGAATACTATTTAATATTATCTCTCCTTCTCTGCAGATTAACCAATTACAGCATACCCTGGGTATGAAGGAAGAGCTTCTACAAATGTGGAATGACCAGACAACCTATGATGAAGAGCTGCCCTCTGATGATACCTCATTTGGCATTATGGATGAACCTCGAAAATCGCATCGGAAAAGCGAAGCTTCCACGTAAGTGCAGGTGTTTTCTCCACTCCTATTTTGCATCTTCTTCTGTTGTCTTTGTCGCCCATTGCATAACCTTTGACCTGCTTTAGGGATTCATTTTTGTGCCCAAATTGTCACTGCTTGATTCCATCACCTGGTGTTTCCTCAATGTCCCAGTGGTTAGTTATTGCTTCTTTCCTCGGAAACATGGCTTTCTATTTGTGTACCCCCCCCCCACCCCCCACTCCCTCTTCACAGCTTACTCACTTTAACCTCGCTTTTGTGCTTGATGTTTTCTTGTGTCTTCTTATTGTTTGACTGTTTCGTTACTTGCTGTTCTTAATTTTATCTATATATGGTGATCGGAGGTCTCGAGTTCGATACCTATTGATGTGAGCCCGGTTACGTCTAGTTAAAAAATGGCGAGATAAGATTTAAATTTCTCGTCGGAGGCTTCACGGTACTCCCCTTCTTACCAAAAAAGTGTTGGAAAATGCTTTCTTGAGTGGATTCGGGGGGGGGGGGTTAATATAAGTGTGTTGATTAGATAGAATAAGTGATTTTGTCATAAATATTAGCTTAATGGTTGACGTAATCTCCAGCACCTTAAAAATATTGGCGAAAGAGGTGATCAACACTTCTGTTTTCACTATCACCGTCTTTGTCTCTTCGCTATTGGCTACTAAACGGAAGTACTTTCGTTTTCCGATTTCCTCTATTGGCATTAACACTTATTTCTAAAGTACACTGTTCCTGAGCCTCTGAAAACTAACATATGTTAGTCGTTCTAAGCTCCTATGTTCTTAAGTAAAAGCATCTTTCGCAGAATTCTGTAATAGTAGTAAGTACTTTAATGTGGATACCAATTGTTGATGCTAGTTCTGTTCTGAAGTGTCTTGCGGTTCTTAATCGATTTTAAAAAAAATTACATCGCTCTAGCTATTCCCTTTCGATTTGCATGACTAATTTAAGTTCATAGTTTTCAAGTGTCCTCGTTTTCTCCCACTTTCTTCATAATTTAATGCGAACAAGTGTTGGCTATCAATGTCCACCTTCTTCTTTTTTTGCTGATCTCCAAGCTCGGAGACCCCATAGTAGTCGAGTAAGCTGTGAGAAGGGGACGGGTTGTCGTTGAAAATGAAATCGGACCGGGGAGGAGCTCTTATTTAACTTCCAATACTTGTTGGGCTTGTTTCGCTGCTTCAGGCTCCAAAGTTCCGAATATGTTGATAAATAAAGTCGTCCAAACCACTTGCGAGCTATAGTCTCTTCCTGAAACTGTTAGCCAATTATTTGGGTATCCTGTAGAGAGCTGATATTGACTCTGAAATCCAGATTGTCCATTGATTGTTTTACTGTGACTACAATCTTCTCAGACCCCAGGAAGAATGGAGAAATCTCGTAACTCCCTCCTCATTTTGTCAAGAAAGTTCAACACTGTCAGTCACTTTATTTCCAGGTGAATTGTGTTCGAATAATGCTCATGAATTCAGTTCTCTTCTTGCCAAGCCTTTTCGTTAACTGTACATGTGATTAGAAGACGCATTCTCCGTTCTCTAATGAGCACTTCCATGGCTTGAAGTTGTTTTCTGATAGGGTTCCTTATTTACTATCGATTTTCTTTCTTTGTAGCAAAGGTAGTGTGCGGGCAAGCCAAGACGATATAGAGCTAATTCATCGGAAACTACAAAATTTGGAGGATGAGAACGCCTCTATCCGGAATACTGTAAGTTTACGTCCTTATTTTGTGGCCATTAATACATAGCGATGTTTAGCCAATTTCATAATCCATAGTGTCTCTTCTACATTGCTAGGTGTACATTGAGGGCAAAATTGGTGAGACTCAGAAAGGGTGAAAAGGCGAAGTTCAGAATACGATTCCCTTGCATTACCTTAGAAAGGAAAGACCGTTTACTTTATTGATTTTGATCAAGGCTACCAGGTGGGGGGGGGGGGGTTGGGAATGAAGCCTTGGGAAAACTATTTGATTTTACTCCCAATTGCTTTCTTTATAATCGAGCATAATTTTGATTGGTTGTCATACGAATTAACAGGGACTTTCCGACTATGTTTCCCATATCTTGTTCGCTGCCGACTTGTCCTCGCAAACATGTAGTGAACTATCTGAACACGTTCTCCAAACCTTCTTTTGAATTGGCTTTGCTTTTTAGCGTTCACGATTTCACAGTATGATTCAGAGAGGTATAATATGTCACACTTCCTTGCTCTAGAACAGAGATATTTCCTATTGCTCTTTTCTTGTAAGACTGGTAAGACCCGGGACGAACTAGACCGTTAATACTATACTCCCTCCCCCAAGACCTAGAAGATTCTGCAGAGTAGAAAAGGAGGAAGTAGGCCTTATTGGAGGAAGCGAAATCGTAGCCTATTTAGTAGGTAACGAGGAGCGGATAATATGGTTAAGGAAGATGACAATAACTTCGCGTTGTCAAGATTGAAACCCATGAACATAATAATTGCATACATGCACTAAGCAGGCTAATTTACCGGAATTTCCCATACATAGATTTATTTCGACCAATTATCCGGAATTGAACTCGTATCCTCTAATATGCACTATTGATGTTTATTTCTCCTTTTCCTCGTTAGCGTCAAGATGAGCAGCAATCTGCGGCCATGAAGGAGTGCTTGCGCAAACTCGGTGATGCAGTGGTATACATGAAGAATCTCTCGGAAGAGCAGTATCGGCGTTATGATGCTCTGATTCAACAACAGAATCAAGTTAATGCTCTAGCTGCACGCAGTCGGGAGTTGGAGAGTAGTCTCAACCAAGTATGACTTCTCGTATATTACTTAAATTAAATCAGTCGATCACAAGAACCGAGCATTATGTACTTGATTATTTATTTATTGTTAGATTGTCTTAATACTCTCCGGGAGCTAGTATTTTCAGGGAATTTCGAGTGCTTGCAAGTTTGGTGGATGTGTAAAATAGGTCATTCTGACACCTCTTTTTTCATTCTTTTCCAGTGGGAAACTTTTTTTTATCCTGTCGTTTTATATTCCCCGTTTTCAATGCGAAGACCACCTATTCAGCTTGTCCTTCAATCTAGGCACTCGATTGATTGCTTTATTGGCGCTAATGGATATCGAATACGGACTTTCCGACTTCCCTAATGAACATGTTAGCCATTTTGCCATCTGTTTTCCTAGCCAACCATTCGGCTATTAAACATTTCCCTCAAATCTTTGAATATACCTTGTCTTATAGTAGACAGTACCAATAATATTCCCATTGGTTTGGATACCAAAGTTTTATGAACAAGTTATTGGTCATTTAAAAATACCTGTGCAATTATCTCAAATGTGTGGTAACGCCCGCTATGAAAAATCATCTCCTTTGACTTAATTTCACTACGCAATTCTAATTATTTTAGGTTGGTTTGACTAATGAAATGCTCGCATCTAAGGTGGAGGAACTAAACGCCGTCAACCAAAACCTTGTTCGGGAACTACGCGAAATGAAGGACAAGTATGATGAGAGTCTAACTCTCTACTCTCAAACACAAGCCACCATTCGTAAACTTCGTGAACGATCTCGAAGGGCTAGTTTTCGACCCGCAATCCTTTATAGTCCCATCTCTTCAAAATCTCAGTCCCATTTGTTCTCTCCTTTGGCTGAAAAGCCCCTTTCGAATCTTGCCGATGAGCTTGCCCATTCCTCTTCCAATGAAGAGTAAGATGTTCTTCAAAAGTCACTCTACTTATAATATTATCAGTATCTGAGTTTTTATATTTTGTAGACCTATTCAATCTACCTCGCATAGTCAGGAAAAGCCATTGAAACCGTCTAGAACAGACAATGAATCGGGAGAATGGGATGACCCCACTCTGGATAGTAGTGGATTTGTCAGTTCTTCAGGTATGGTTGGTTTAGCTATGCTCTCACAATTTGTTTAGAACCCTTTGACCAAAGCCATCACGCACCTCAACCTTCGACTACTTCTGCAGTAATGTTTGACAGCCGACGTATAGCTCTCCAACACGGAATTAATATTGATCTCGACGACCCCGATATAGATGATGTCATGGAAATAGACGAAGAGTTGGGCTATGTCGATGAATACCCGGAATTGATTCAAGCCTTTGATAATCAACACATATCTATTCAGCAGCCCACATTAACTAATCGGTATGGCCTCCTTATACACCGACTTAATTTAAAGATATCGAAGCTTTTTTCTTAAAATGAGGCATAAATTAAGATTTAAATGATATCTTCTTGCTTTTATTTCGTTTTCGTTTCCTTTGAAGAGTTCTCGGACGACCCAAGCTGCCTGAAACCGAATTACAATTGGGAAGGCCGGAGAAGCGTCAGCCCAAGCCTCTTGCCACGTCTTCATTCTCTCGAGATTCCTCTGCAAATCGCAGAAGTTGGGTAGTTAATGAAAACTCCGCTTTTGAGTATCCTGCCCCGCACAGTTTTGATGATACCGCGTGTACCCCCATGGCGTCTGTTCCTCTTTTTCCACCTCCTAGCATGTAAGTTGACTGGAACAGCAATGAATTTGACCTTTCCATCTATTGGTTGGCCTTTCTATTTTGGTGTTTTTTTGTTTCATTTCTTTTAGTCGTCCCCAACGACTTCAGCTGGTGAAACAGCTGCAGGGTTCTGGTGTGCTTCAAAGGTGGCAACGTCTTGCGACACCAAGTTTTACTGCAGCACTCTACGAGAGGCCTCTTAGTGGAGTGGCCAGTAGAGCTGTTGTTCTTCCCTCTGATGTAGTGGACTCTGACTCCGGTATACCCACCCTCTCCTCAACTTCTCAACGGTGGTCCTCTGGCTTCGATCTCAGTAAGTAGAAAATATAATAACTCTCTATATATATGCCTCGTATTTACATCTGCCTCGGATATGTGCTAATTGCACTTAACTGATTGATTTTTAAAATCTGCTTTGGTTGAGCATTCATTCGAATCTTCTTCTAACACTGTTTTATCTCTTCTCTTTTGCAGGTAAAGTACCGCAGTCAGGTGAAGACAACAAGTTTGTCCCAATGTAAGTTATTGTGCACCCAAGTCTCTTCGATTGCGTTGCATTTTGTTGTTATTGCATGTGGCGAAGCTTTTATTATCATTTAATATCTTATTTGAGCTGCCAAATTTGTTATTATCTCTCTTTGTGGCTCGAATTCGCATTTTATTGACCTTTTCAAGAGGTAATAGTCCCATCTACCCTTTCTTTGGCCACGTAATGAAATTACTAGCTTTATAAGCTCTCGGCTAAATGAATTATGCACCCCTTCGACGAACCAGTTTCTCTGCCTCTAAGTTTGAGTATAACTAAATTGCAGTAAATAGGACATCTATGAAAAATACAATGTTCCTCATAATCGCCTCACTTATTTTTCCCGTTTTTTTTTCCTGCAAAACTCCCATATAAGAGTGACTCCATAACAAACAATCTTTGAAATTTATGTGGTGTTTTAACGTTCACCTGATGTTCTCAAACTTTTGGGGCTCTTCATTACAGAACTTTGAGTTTCGTATTATGGTTTTTGTGAATTGTGGTATTGATTTCCTTGCGTTCGAATTAATGCTTTCCAAATGACCCTTTTTTGCGTTCTACCACATCTAATGTGCCTGGAGGCTTTCATCGAAAGTTCAATTTGCCAATGATCCTGCTTATGCATACCTATGACTCCGGATCATATTGGTCTTGTGCTTATTTTAAGGGTACATCAGTTCCTTCAGTTTTATTAGTAAAGCTTGAGTAGATGAGCTTTTTCTGATTTTGAATGCCCTTAAAAATCACAAGATATGTAGATATAGTTGTGTACGAATCTTTACAGTATTGTATTAGCATACTTCCGACAGGCGCAATGTACTAGTAATCTCGTATTGTTTTAAGATGTTGTTGTATTGATAGCATGTGGTGAATTGTGCACAAGTTTTGTGTTGTATTGTACGTAAGGGAGATTAGAGATCCAATCTTACTCCCGTCCCCTGCCCTCCCTATATGTAGGTACTGCGATCATCCGCTTCCGCTCTACTCGTCTCTCAACTCCTCTTCTCAACTCGACCGACCTCAGTGACAATGACACAGTGCTTTCTCTCTCTCTCTCGACTCGCATTTACCTCTAGACTGACAAACGTGAACAGTCGACCACAGCTGCGTTGCCTTCCTTTCTTCTCTAGATCTCAATTTCTTTCTCCTCCTGGCTCAATCCCCCCCCTCCCCCTCCCCCTCCAAGACTTGATACCCTGCCTTCCTGGGCCAAATGGCAACTTAATCTTTCTCAGCAATAATCTCAGGTCTCTCTTACAGTAGCCGTCTTAAACCCCCCTCCTCTTTTCCTTTCTAAGCTCCTTCCCGTCTTGGAAGTGAATAGAAGAAGAACTGATTGCTAACACCAACGCTATTATTTCATTCCTGCATGCTTGTGACCCTCAACCTCTCAATGATTGTTCAGCTTGCTCATGTGATGTGGTGCTCTCAGTATCTTTTTTGTACTGCTAACTTATCCTCCTCTCCCTTTTCCAGTTCTTCCCACTCACTAGTTAAGAACACCACGAACAAAATGTTGAATGAATTCTTGTCTCAGCGATCATCTCTAGTAATGCCAGCAATAATTCGTCCACAACCTAGATCTGAACGCGAAAGACAAACGTATTCGCCGACGAGCTTTCGGGCTATGTCACCGAGTTGTCGAGGTCTGCTAGATGCGTCTGAGTTGGCTTCAGAACCGGCTATCCCTTTTGGATCCGTGGTAATGAAAGTACCACCGCCCTCTCAACGACCTATTTCACCGCAAGGAAGTGATCGGTCGTCATCACAACACGTCAGCTCGGTTTTTCGTCGACAGAATGTTTCAAGAGCTTCACCGACTCTTGAAAGCTTGAGAGAGGAGAGCAACACTTCCAGCACGCGACCCAAGTCAACAATCGTTTGAAATATAGTGGCTTCTCATCGCACTTCATTTTCACTCTTACTGTCCAACCATCCTCTTCTTTACCTTTCGTTTATTATTTTGGTTCGCCCGCCAGATTGTAGTTAAAGAAGAATATGGCCCTCGTGTACATTTTATTTTAAGTATTTCAAAGTAACCATTTACATAACTTTCTTACAACCATTCGCTTCGTTTTCCATTATCCGCGAAAATGGTTTTGTGGGTGGGTTTGGGGTGGAGGGGGGTCAACAGTGAACAATATAAGGAGCTGAAGAGGCACAAAAGCTAATACTAACGCCATTCAACGCATTGCCCATTAGTATTTCGTTGTATAATGACTTGGAAAGAAATTTGCAAGCAGGCAAATTGGCAAGTTATACGTGGGTTTGGGCTTCCACTTCGTAGTTTATTACCGTCAAGCTGAATCATATATTGGCAGTTTGTTCCTATAACTATTTGTCAACAATGTACAGCAGCTGTATTTCTACTTCCTGAGGCTTGTATTCCAGTAGTTAGGGCCTGATTTTTTTCGGCCAGATGGGCTCTTTTTTAAAAATCAATATTGAACAAGAAAAGATAGCCTTTCTTATAGTAATTAATTAAAAAAAACAACCTGGGAAGAAGGTAGTGCCGGGTGTGTTAAGATTATATTGAGGGATAGCGCCCCTCTGGTGTATTGGTTAACATGCTAATTTACATAGTCGTGTTTTGCATCACCATTAGAAGGGGATAATCCCATTTAGGTTTGTTTGTTATGGTCATATCCGGTGAGAATACTCCTAACCAAAAAAATTGAAAATATGGCTCAATGTGAAGGAGTCGGTTAGCCGCTTAATGAGCGGGTAAATCAATTAAAACCATTAATCGCCTCCAAGGTCACTAACGCTGCCTATTTTATTTGCGTATCTAAAATAGTTTATGCTCTAACCGGTTCATAAATCCAAGAATAGATCATTGCCGCAAATCACAGAAGACATCTCATTTAATCTGTTGATGGGCTGAATTTAGTAATAGCGGGACAGTAAAGAGAATTCAGAATGTATAATTTTAGTCTTAAGTATCTCGTTCAATTATGCCATCAAAAAATGAGGGAAAATTTATCTCTGCCAAAAAATAAGATCTGATTAAATACTTTCCGTATGAATATTGCAGTGATATGAGTAACGTATTAGGCATTGAATGTAGTACTAATTTTTGACCGGGAACGCAAAGAATATAATGAAGAAAATTAACCTTAGTAGTAAAAATAGTATGCACTTCCTAATAATAATATGTGGTGTAAATTACAAAGGCCAATAGGATGTGAATGACGTAATCATGTCGGTTTGTTCAAAAAATCAATATAAGCAATGACGCACCTGTGTTTGAAAAAAGTATATCCACACGTAAACGTAAAGATCAATAGTAGGTAACAACCAGATTAAGGAAATTGATAGAAATTATAAAATTTACTGATTTAACTAACGGAAAATTTAATTCTAGTTGACCGTTTATGAATTTATCTTCAATCTGAAAAAAGGGAATATCGGCGTTTGATGTCAGTTTAACAAACAGGATCAAATGGTGTTGTCCGAACCGAATATTTTTCAACAAAAATGTTCCGAAAAGAGGTCATATACTCGTTTTTGTCTTATCAGCGCAAAAGCTCGAATTTCTCCTACAAATACAACATCAATCATTGGAGAAAAGTGGTGACTAGTGGGGAAAGTGGCCACTGCAATTGCGGAATGTCCGCTATTTTCCATCTCCTTCTTAATACAAACTTCAGAAGCCAATTCCATCACTCTCTGTGTATTCGCTGAGAAATATATGCGATTACTGAAAATGAATTTCAGCTAAGAAACAAGGTTACATTTTTGGGCTTGCAAAATAACCACAGGTTTTAATCGCTGAACAACACCTTAACTCACTTAATTGTTTAAATACCTTATTATGGTTGATCTAACAGTTATTGATTATAAATTCAGGGCAACTGTATAGTCTTATTGAATTGCTACTTATATTTCGACTAATGTTATTATGAACACAAGAGGTGTGCGATAAACTTACCTCCACGTGGTGCAACCTAGGCAACGTAAACTCATACGACAAAAAAGTCAATTAACCGGCAGTTGACTTCTGAATTCAAACTACCATTACCTGACTGTATGTCATATTCGGCTACCTCCACAGTACTCACCTTACCTCTTTCTCTACCTTCGTGTCTGTCTCTTTTACTTCGATGAACCACTCTTCTGTTTCCCCTCTCGCATTTTTTTCCATTTTGATGTTTCTCCCCTCTGTGAAGTCCAAAGTCGCTAAATGGCTCAGGATAACTACTCAAAACGTCTGCCATTTGAAATAATAATGAATGCAATTAGCCCTGCAATTTTAACCTAAAACATTAGTACATGACCTTGAGAGTTCATATTCGAGATACTTGGAGCTAATTAAACAATTGATTAGCCGGCTATTTAACATTGGCAATTGCTTTCTGGATAGCTTAAGAACGTCAACCCAGCAGCATTCAATCCGGAAATCTGCCCAATTCCAACTTTAGTGGCCACAAGAAGGGTTGCATGCATCGACTTAATTATTTGCGTTCATTCCAAATTATTATCGTGAAATTTTTCTCTCCCTGTTATTAATAGCCCCAAAGTCGTTGGTTGTGTGTATGAATTATGAATGCTTTATTGCTTCTAAAAAAGGATTCATTATCTTTTCCCAATCTCGTTTATTATGTAAACTAAGTAACCACCCATAGGCAGGAAAGCTAATTTTATATATGGCGATGATGAGCATAGTTTACTTTTTACTGTGAGGGATTGAGAGAGGAGTTTGGAGGAAGAGGACTGGAAGAGGTGGGACATCTTGAATCTCCAATTTTCTTGCCTTTACCTTCTCCCAAGGGAGGCAATTTGACGAAGATAATTAAACATTAAACTTTCACCCATTTTGGCAAAGCAAAAAAGGCACGAAGTATCTTTTCTTCCTCGTAAACAGGTAATTTTGGTAAATTGCAACTTTTAAAACTCACTAGCTAGCAAATATCGTTGCATTTACCTCTATTGGCATACTTCCACGAGCGATTTACTACTTGCTACTGTATAAAATAAATGCTAGTTTAGGGGGAATAATAATTTACGTTGAGTGTGCTTTGCTAACTTAAAATTTTTTGGCTCTTCCACCTCTGCTGCAGCAGGACCGACCATAATAGGAAACTGGTCGAAAGCACCAAGTATTGTTAGATAGGTATTTACTACTCTTGAATTTTGAACAATCCTAGACCGGAATTGAAAGCATGTAGTCTATTTGACACCTAAACTTTAATCTCAGGAACTGTTTGAACTGCTTCCCTTAATTCTCTTTCATTGAACTTTTACCTCGCCGAATTTAGTTGCTTCCCACAGTTGGAAAATGCCCATTTTCATCGTATTTAGGTACTTATAATGCTACAAGTAGTATCAATGACGAATTCAACAAATAGTTTATTTTATTTATTTATATATATCAAATGGCAGGCGTCTTGATGGTTATCATTAGCCCTTTAGTTGACTTCAGGCTTCACAGAGGGGAAGGAACATCAAAGTGAAAAAAGTTGGGGGGGGGGG